AATAATAATAATAATAATAACACAACTTTATTTCAAAATAACAGTGCAATGTACAAAACAGTAGTGTAGTTTACACCATCAGATGAAATAGTAGTCAAAAATATAACAATAACAAAACAAAACAAAGAAAACATAGATGGATGATCAATGATACATTACTGTTAAAGCAAACATTAATTTTGTAAATATTCATTTAAACTGTATGGTTCCAAATTTAATAACATTTTGTGTATATATTTTTTGTACTGGGATAAACTCTGGGTATTTTTCACCTCTTGAGGGAGTTTATTATAGAATTTTATGCAAGTATAATGAACATTCTTCTCAGTTAATGTTAAATGATGTATGGGAAAGATTAAATTTGTATTTCTAGTATTGTAAAAGTTAGTTTGAAAACATTCCCTAAATAAATTCTTATTTTTAAAAGTGAAAAGTAAAATTTCTTGGATATATACGGCAAAAACTGTTAATAAACCATTTGACCTAAATCTTCCACGGCAAGACACACTTTGTGCGAGCCTCAACAAACACCTCAAAGTTCTTTTTTGAGAAATGAACAACCTATTTATGTGGATACTTTGACCAAAGAAAATTATTCCATATCGGAATACAGACTCAAAATTTGCATAATAAATCACTTTGAGGGTTTTGAGATCCAAATACTTAGTCAACACCCTAATACTGTAGCATACTCTATTCAACCTTTTTTCAATGCACTCGATATGAAAGGACCAACTAAGTGTGTCATCTAGGTGTATTCCAAGAAACTTCATATTTTCTTCCACTTTGCAGCTCATAGTGTTACTTAATTTGAAACTGTCCGGAGATATATAGCTGCTTTGTCTTGTTTTAAATAACATAACTTTTGTCTTATCCTGATTTACAACTAATTTATTTTTACTGCACCAATCAAGTATTCTATTGTAAACATATACAATTTTTTCTCGTATATCACTAAAGTTTAAATATACTGTTCTTGCATACATGCAGATCATCCGCAATGACCAATCATTCTGAAGTAAAGTTATAGCTCTCACTTTCTCTGGTTCCGTTAAATGCGGCATCTTGAATTACCAAGCAAATTACCAATGACAGTGACATATAAAAACTTGTCATAATAAAAAGTAGAGCACATCACATTAGAATAATAAATCGTCCACTTTCAAAGGGCCGGCAGTGTACCAGGGTAGCTTCTAACGTAAATTCTATGCAGACAATCAGATTTTATGTTGGGCAAGAGAGTATGTAATTGTGGAGATGATTGAGATGAAAATAGGAACATTTTTGTCAAAACGTACTTCTTTAGAGATATAGTACAAAAATCTATTATATAAAAAAAACCCAAACAAAATTTTGTACACACCATACCTGAATTAGTTGATTTATAATATGTCATCTGTGCAACCAAGCACGAAGATACTTTCATTAATTTAATATAAAAATACATTTTTCCATAAAGCTTTTAAAGGACCCCACACAAAATGAATGGAAATTGGGTCCCGCTAGATTTGGCTGAAATTGTAATATGTTATAGTTCTTGACATTCTGATGAAAAGTTCTCACAGGCCCAAAGTGATCCTATGGATAGTTTCAGAGATATAGAGGGGGGAAGTGTGTGATTTTGGCTGTAGGACTGAGTAAGCTTCACGAAGTTTCAAGTTGATGCATTCAAAAACTGAGGCATGTAATGAATTTTGACCGGTAGGTACAATGCTATCTAAGGTCACCTGGAAGTCAGGTAAAGGTTGTTTCAAGGTCAAACTGAAGAAAAGACTTGTATTGAATTTTGACCAGTGAGTATATAGGTTTTTGGGCTCGCAAAATCTGAATCTGGATATAGCGTAACCCTAAAGGTCACCTTCAAGTCAATTCAAGGTCATTTCGAGATGAAACTAAAGAAAAGGCTTGTACTGAATTTCAATCAGTGCCTATATAAGTTTTTTTGGAGGGGAGGGGAGAACTGAATTTGGGGATAGCTTAGCCTTACAAGGTCACATTTAGGTCAAGTCAATATCATGTCAAGGTCAAAGTAAAGAAAAGACCTTTCACGATTGTTAAGTGGTTCCCACTCCAGGATCATAGACACATCTATGTCGGAACCAACTCTTGGGATGGTATCCGACAAGATGGTTCCAAGGTTTCACTTCCACAAGCCATTTGAGACTCGAATAGAGGATCAAAGCAAGTGGGAGGAAAGGTTTAATACCCTGGAAAGGTGAAGCCTAGTATGGTTTACAGATGGCTCCAAAATGACCAGAGGGACGGGTGCAGGAATATATGGACTCAGACCCAGATGGAGTGCAAGCTACAGTCTGGGGGAGTTCCCTACTGTATTCCAAGCAGAAATCTTCGCGATAATGGCGTGCCTGGCAGAGAATGTACGTAGAGGTTATAGACATAAACTCATATATATATATATTCTCTGATAGTCAAGCTGCAATTAAAGCTTTAGCCGCACATAAGGTAAGTTCAAAACTGGTGTGGGACTGTTTACAAATGCTGACTGAACTGGCCACCAACAATACAGTCAGACTGTGTTGGGTGCCAGGGCACAAAAGCATTTGTGGGGTGTGTGAGAAAGCGGATGAACTTGCTAGGAAGGGATCCGAGACAGTGTTCATTGGCCCGGAGCCCTTCTGTGGCACATCTCCCAGTGTGGTCAGGCGGGGGTCAGGCATTCTGGGCAAATGGACAGAGACATGAACATAGGAAATACTGGACTTCAAGGCCAGGACATAGCCATTCTAAGGAGCTTATGGAGTATCCTTCGAAAGGAAGAGCGAATGAGCTACTGAGCTTGAATAGAATCCGGCTCAGGAGAGTGACAGGACTCATAACGGGACACTGTCACTTTAGGAAACATCTACATAAGCTAAAGCTTGTAGACAGTCCAGTCTGCCGAGGATGTGAATCAGCGGATGAAACTTCTCTGCATATCCTGGGCGAGTGCCCGGGATTTGCACGTAGCAGAATGACGCTCCTTGGGAGACCCTATTTGGAACCCAAGGAATTGAGAGAAGTGTCAGCAAGGAAGCTTTTGGACTTTGTAAAAAGGACAAATCTACTTGCTGAATAGGACTAGTAGTGGGACGCACAATAGGCCTAATTAGGCCGCAGTGCTATGGGACTTTTTTAAAGGACCAACCACTAGATGAAGATGAAGATGATGAAATGTGACCTTGTAATGCTAAGCTATCCCCAAGTTCAGTTCCACCCCAAAAAAAAATTATATACGCACTGGTTGAAATTTAATATAAGCCGTTTCTTTAGTTTCATTTTGAAATGACCTTGAATTGACTTGAAGGTGACCTTTATAGTTACGCTATCTCCAGATTCAGATTCTGCGAGCCCAAAAATCTATACACTCACTGGTCAAAATTCAATATGTCTTTTCTTCAGTTTGACCTTGAAGCGCCCTTCACCTGACCTCCAGGCGACCTTAGAGAGCTAAGGTATCCAAGAATTCAGGTTCAGCAATCCCAAAAGCATTGTACCTACTGGTCAAAATTCATTACATGCCTCAATTTTTTAATCCATCAACTTGAAACTTCGTGAAGCTTACTCAGTCCTACAGCCAAAATAACACACTTCCCCCCTCTATACCTCTGAAACTATCCATAGGATCACTTTGGGCCCGTGACAACTTTTTATCAGCATGTCGAGAACTATAACATATCACAATTCCAGCTAAATCTAGTGGGACCCAATTTCCATTCATTTTGTGCGGGGTCCTTTAAATTTCTAGTTTTTTTTATCACAGTTTAATGGAAAATTGGACTTTTTTTATTTTTCATTAAAGTACAAATCCAGCTTGATAGAACACATCAAACAAATCTTTTCTTTAACTCAATGATTTTTAAATCATAA